ATATATATATATATATATATATATATATATATATATATATATATATATATATATATATATATATATATATATATATATATATATATATATATATATATATATATATATATATATATATATATATATATATATATATATATATATTAAAATTTCTAATTTAGGGATTTACTATCCATTTTCAGCATCTAAGAATAGTCTAAGTTGATACTGGTAAACAAAAACAATAAGAATTGATTAAAAACATCCGGTTAATGGATAAAATTTTTAAAAATATTATAGATTAAAAATTATCGGCACTATATAAATTAAAGTAATTTCATATAATTTTAGTAATAAGTTGGGGTAGCCAAAATACATTCGTAACATTAATTGATAGATGTTTAAATCCATAGAAATGATAAAACACTATAATATTATACCTTAGCATTAATTGATTTTAATTTAGAAACTTTAATCTTTGACGTTAATAATATTTATAGGGTAAAAGAATACAAGGAATTACATATGGAGAAACTATTAGAATATTTAGAGATAACTTTAAAAGAATTGAGTTATTTCCATTGCAAATGGGAAAGTGATGGAAATAAATCTAAAATTCAGAAAACGTCAATGAATCACTTGAATTGGCATTAACATAAGACATATCTATTAATGAAGCACTGAATGAGTTACATTAAAAAATAATTTAATAACTTTATCCTAATCAAAGAAAAAATCTCCATGGAAGACATAAGAAAAATTAGTAAGTATTCATAAATTTCATACTGTGTTCTTCAAATTAAATATTAATAGTATAATCTAAGAGAAATTGGTAATGAATAATGCAGATATTTAGTTTAGATCTTTATGAAAAATGACAGGGATAGAGCAAAGGTAATATTATTGAAATAACAAAAATTATTATTGGATGCACATCAGAAGAATTCATTTTAGAGGAAAATAAAGAGATAGCTTCTAATTTATTTAAGTAATAAATTAGGAACACAAAGAATTTTATATATATGAAATTAATATTTATTCTCATTGAAATAGAAAAAAATCAAAGTCTATATTTTGAGCAGTTTGTGTTGAACATCATAAGTACATTTGACTTCTTTGTAAAGTTAAATGAGATGATAAAAAATTAACGAGCCTAGGAAAGATAGCATAAAAAAATACAAAATTAGCCTGATGTCACAATTGATGTAGATGATGAAGACAATACTCTAGAATTGTCCGAGAAATGATAAATGATAAACCTGAAGAAGGATTGATCTTAACTCAATAAAAAATAAAATAGAAGAAATAAAAAACAATATTTTATGAATATTTTATAGAATAGTTTAATTATTTTGAGTGAAATTAGGAATCTTTAGAAGGGAGTTTCATGAATTTTTTTCAGTACTTTTATATTCTTATGTGGATGTTTTTATCATATAAAAGTATACTAGAGTAGCATTAATCTTTAATTTATATTTTTTTATGAAGTCTATCAATGATTAGGAATAAACTTCATATTTCTCTTTTGCATCGTTTTAACATACTTTAAAGCAATCATTTTGCCATATTGGTTTTAAATATTCACCTTCCTTGTATAACACTATTTTAATATTTTTTACTTTGCATCGCTATACTTTCTCAAATAAAGCTTAGTTTCATATCGGTCAAAAATAATATGAAAATTCAAATTATTTTTAAATTATATTTGTTTTTTGTCAATTCAAATATCAACATGAAAATTGTATATTGAGAATTGTCCTCATAATCATTATACTTGCCAGTTTACCCTCCACAGCAGATTGAGACCATCAGGTTGCCTTCTATTCTTGTTAACGAATTAGAATGGAAGGTTCTTATCTTGTGTTAAGATGACTAATAATTTATAAATATGACTCTTCTTGCCTTAACTAAGCTCTAATTACTTCAGGAGTCCCACAACCCTAACAAAAAATCACTACATGAAGTAATTCTTCTCTCACTATCAATGTAAGATTTGGAGAGGAAAGGAGAGTTTTTTTTCTTTGGGGTTTGGGGGCTACTTTTTTATGGATTTTGTGTGAAGCATGAGGAATAAGAAGAGAGCATAATGAAATTTTACCTTGCAGTGTAAGAAATTAAACAACTAACAATTTGGTAGAATGATAAGTCTTAAAAGTATTGGGGAGCTTACTTTCTGTATAGAATGCTATGTGGGCAATTTTTGAAATATGGAAGGTGGTTCTAGTTGAAGTATGATAAACAAGAAGACAAACACATTGAAATTTTACCTTGTAGTGTAATAAATCAAACAAGTAACTAAATTGACAGAGTTATCAGCTGGTTTAATGTTATTTCTACACACACACACACATATGTTCGAGAGTTTGGTAGGGCTGAGCAAAATTCGGCTTTAACTGAATAAGCCGACCGAACTGGCCATTTTTTAGCAGTTTGGTTCGGTTTTGTGCTTAGTGCGGTTCGGGTCGGGATTCATACTCTTACCCCCGAGTCCACTGAACCGCCGAGCTCTTCTAAAAGTGTGTGGTTGAAACCAGCGTGGTTTTTAAAGTGAACCCATTTTGATAACCACTCATCTTCCAATTTGTGGAGCCTACAAAATAGCCTCTCAATAGCTCTCGTGAATGTTTCTTGCCAGCTCAAGCTAGCTGTCATATATGGAAAATGGAGGAGGGTCCACTCAAAGTTATCCCTATCTCCACATTGCTCAAAAAAAGCCGCCATGGCCATTCTCCTACAACAAATCACAAGTAGTTCAGAAAATAAATTAAAATCTCAATCATGGACATCTCTTTGTTCTTTCTGAATGTGTACTTAGTCCGTCTTCTTTGTATCTGGGCCTAATACTAGAGTCCCTTCTTTCTTGCAACTTTCATCTTTGCTTGGATGGGACACATAACAGCCGAAAACACCGACCGAACCGAATCGAAATAACTCAGTTTGGTTCAGTCTGGTTCGGTATAAAGCTTGGTTCAGTTCGGTGTAGTAGAAAATGATCAAAACCCGACTGAACCGGCCATTTGCTCACCCCTAGTCATCAGGTCATTCTGTCTGTGATGCACATAGTGTAGGAAGTAATTGAAACATGACTTGTAATTCCCAACGGAAGCTTTACACCTACTGCAGCTTATTTATGCATCTTTTGTTCTTTTCTTTTTATAAGATAAGGTTACATCTAACTTAATTTTAGTTATGCTTCTTGGGGTGTATTTGTTATTAAATGATTTCTTTTTTCTATACAGATGCTGATGTACGGTTAGCTAGGAGGATACGGGTGGATACTAATGAGATGGCTAGAGACATCGGGACAGTACTTGATCAGGTTTGGAAATTACCATTCTTCTGAATATTTAACAAATTTTATCATCCTTTGTGACCAACCAATGCTTTATCATATTGTGTATTATATTTTTACTTCTTTTAACAGTGTATAATACCTTTCTTTATAAGTCAGATATCTGCTTATGGCTGTGATTTGTTACTCATTGGTTCTGTAGTTCAATGATGCAGTACTCAAAGTTCGTGAAACCTGCTTTTGATGACTTCATACTCCCGACAAAGAAGTATGCCGATATTATCATCCCGCGGGGTGGAGATAATCATGTAGCTATCGACTTGATTGTGCAGCATATATGTACGAAACTTGGTCAACATGATCTCTGTAAAATATACCCTAATCTGTCTGTCATTCAGTCAACATTTCAGGTACAAATCTTTTCACGCTAATTATTTAGTGTTGGCACACACAATAAGGAGCACAAGCACGAACACAACACGAGGACTTTTTTACATGGTTCGCCAAATATGCCTACGCCCATGGTTCTAGGAAAACCCACTATCCTCACAGACCAATACAATCAATACAAGTTATTCAACTGATACAAGTTTTGCACGGAAAAACCTGAAAACCCTCGCGCATCACATATCTTTCAAGGAACCCCGAGGACCGATCACTCAAGAGATTCGAGAGGCCTACCATTTAGACACTTTGTTAAGTTTAGAGTATCTTTTCAAGAGTAATACTGAAGTCTTAGGTGGTTGCCCTATTGTTCTAACATCTTTTTAGTAACGCCTGCTTGTTTCTTTAAGATACGGGGTATGCATACACTGATACGCGATGCCCAGGCAGCAAAGCATGACTTCATATTTTACTCAGATCGATTAATACGCTTGGTGAGTATACAATACGTCTAGCTGGTTTTTGGTTTTTGGTTTTTGCTAATGAATGAGATTAAGAATAGCATCTTATACGTAGGTTGTTGAGCATGGTTTGGGCCATCTTCCTTTCACGGAAAAGCAGGTGATTACTCCAACTGGTAAGCAGCTTTTGCTTCATTATATTGTGATCCTGGAATATCTTAGTTTCGTGCTATACAAATTAAGTTTTTTTCTCAAATTAGTTCAAATAGAAACTCTATTATTCTTTAATGTTGCCTATAGAAAGTGATGATATGACAATTGAATCAGTGTTAACAGAAGTCTCGAAGTTATCCACATATAAAATGTCACCACATTTGTTTAGACTTTCCTTTTCAAACTAGACAAGACACATGTTTCTTTTATATTTGAGTCATCTGTTTAATTGGACCAAGCTGCTTCACCATATGGTACTGGAGGCCAAGCACATGATCAACACCTCAAGCATGCTAATTTATGAAAGCATTACTTAATGTTTTTTGAATGCCTCATGCGCTTATAAAAAAGTAGCCATTTGGATTTGCATGAATACTTGCTCCTCTTATAAAAGCAAGCTTGAAGTTTTCGGATTCTTATAGGGCTTAATAGTAGGTTGTTTACATGTTGCAGAACCGGTCATCTTGAATATTTTGTGTATGGATATGTTCCTTTGTGTTCTAGCTTATCTATTGGAACCTTACGATCATACTTAATGAACGTTTTTTGTTTTTCTTTTTTGGTATATTCTTTGCTATTTGCAGGATCTATATACACTGGGGTGGATTTTTGTAAGAGATTATGTGGTGTCTCAATTATTAGAAGGTGCTTCATCAGTAACCTATTGTTCAATATCAATATTGTTCACATTCTGATGATTATATTGCCAACAAGCAAATGAAATTCTCATTCTTAATCATAATATTGAACTTATTTTGATGAGCAAAATAAAAGCTGGTAAATGTAGATTCTAATATCTGGGGAAAAATTAGCAAAAAGGGACATCATGAAACACCACGTGAGATAGTTTAAATACATGTATGGATGGAGTTTCCTCATCTTAAGCATATAAACGCAGTATGCAGATGTAACATTCAGAAAGAGTATACGGTTTAAAGTTCTATCATCCATTCAAACATGTAGATTCTCATAACCTTCCATGTAATTAAATATTATAAAGAAATACGATTAAGCGGAAATGCTATATATGCCTTTGGTTTCCATAAACTTCCACGGTGACTGCTGAGTATACGGTATACACTTAATGGCCATTAGCTAAGTTGCATGGAAATAGGTATGGGTACTGGTACAGGTATGGGTACGTGACACGATAATTTTGTAAAAGGTAAGGTACGGGGACACGGCTATATATGTATGTATATGCATATTTGTAAGTATTAAAATTAATAATTTATATAAGATCAATATTCATCACATGTTATGAGAATTAAAGTTCCCATAACATTTTTATGTCTCTATATATGTAGACTATCAAACAACTTATTTTTGAACTAGATATCCAAACGGCCTTTTAAATCATATTTCTTAACTGGACATAGGCTAAAACAAAATTGACCCATGTCTAATGATTTTCAAGAAGTAGATGGGAAGTGTAGGATATATGTTCATAAATGTATAACAAGTGTTTTAAATTAAAACATGTATTGTCTTAAAAAAATAAAAACATATATTATATAATTTGCACACCCAAATAAGCATATTCATATATTCAAGAAGTGTCCAAGATGTTTGGGTGCTGGTATTGTTATGGGTACATGTCAGGTTCGGGTACATGTTCAGATAGAAGTAACCGGGTAACATAGGTCATTACAGACTCTTCATAGTTTGTCTTTGAGCCTTAATTAATTTGGTAACTTGTTTCAGTGGAGAAAGTATGGAGAATGCATTGCGAGCATGTTGTAAAGGTATCAAAATTGGGAAAATTCTCATTCATAGAGAAGGAGATAATGGACAACAGGTTTGCATCTAAGTCACTTCTATTTCATACTTCATTTTGCTTTAACTGCTTGACTGATATTTTGACTATTTTCATTTTTGTAGCTAATCTATCAGAATCTGCCAAAAGACATCTCGGATAGACATGTTTTACTGTTGGATCCTATACTAGGCACAGGTTGGTTTGATTAAAAAGGATTTTTTATGTGATTTGCTACCATTTTATATTTTTCTAGCATTTTTTTTATATCCAATTTCGCTGTAAGTTTGCTTTTCCAACTTTTATGAATGCAAGGTTCAACATCTCCACTATAAAACATAAAATTGGAGATACATGCTTTAATGACGAGGTTGTTTTAAGCCCTTAGTAGTTGAACTGGTTCCTCTATGTATGATTTCATATGCTTTTAGTGATGAGGCTGTTTCAAGCCAAGATAATTATCCATGGTATTCTAGTTACCTTTCATGCTATGCTCAAAATTCCCTTTATTATATACAAGTATATGGAAACCATTGCCTGCTTATTCTTTATGTACTCTCATTGAGCGTTGTTTTTCATGATAGGGAACTCAGCCGTGCAAGCTATTTTATTGCTTCTGGAGAAGGGTGTACAGGAAGCAAACATTATATTTCTGAATCTGATTTCTGTAAGTTCAAGGACTTGCTGTTCCGTCTCTGTAGTTTTTTTTCCTTCTTTGTTTCAGATTTAGAGTTTGCTTTCCTTGTTCTTTAATATGGAGAACAGTTGAACTGGTACCAAATGTAAGTTACCGGTTTCTGACTAGAGACAAATTCTCATAGGGTTCTTCTAGTTCTAGGATATGCATTGTGGTTGCTCTTTCAGGTTGCTTCTGCTCATTAAAATTTTCGTATTGTGTGAGGATGTTTTTATTACTTAATTTTGTCAGCTCACTTTATCGTAAAAGTGATTCTTTACCAGTGACAGAGAAGTTGTGACTTATCATACTTATTTATCTATTTCAACGTGTCGACACTTTGCAAAAATCAGGCGCCGCAAGGAATTCATGTTGTTTGCAAAAGGTTTCCCAGAATTAAGATTGTGACATCAGAGATAGAGTTTGGACTGAATGAAGATTTCCGTGTCATTCCTGGCATGGGCGAGTTTGGAGATAGATATTTTGGAACTGATGATGAGTAGGTAGCGGGCTTGCCACAGTCCAAATGATTCCAAGATATCCCCCTGATAATTCAAGTAAGTTGCTCTTAACTAGTTTGAGATGCATACTTCGCAGTGAGCACTGCTTTTCTGTAGTTATCTTTTAATCAGCAATGCTTTTTTGTTAATCTGTCTCTATGTGGTTGTTTGTTTGGTTATATTAATGGGGTCTCTGGAAAACATAAGAGAAATAACTTTGTTACAATCAACTTGTGATGACATATCATGGGTCATTGCAATCAACTAGCGATCAAGTATCGTGGGTCATTTTTAACTAAGGGTGCAGAAAATTTCAAAAATTATGCTAATATAAGAGGAAGTGGATAAAGCCATCCAGTTCAACACGTTAAGTGACTTTGCCTTTCAGTGAATCTTTATAAAAATATAGGCTAAATATCATAATATTCTNCCCCACCACCCCCACCACAAAAAAAAAGAACCCCAAAAAAACTTTGGATGATTATCAGACAATCCCGTATAATTTTCAAAATATCGGAAACCCCCTTAAGTATAGAGATTACCACAAAACTCCCCATAACTTTGAGATTTTATTAAAAAATTCCTTTTAGAGGGTTGCATGATAAAATCTCAAAGTTAAAAGGAGATTTTCTGATAACCCTCTAAACCTAAAGGGGTGTTTGCTGAGATTTTGAAAGTTATGGAGGGTTATCTGATAATCGTCCAATGTTAAGGGGGCTTCTGATATTTAGCCAAACATATATATAGCTAAAGTTGTGCTTTCCTCCTCCTCTATTATATGTAAGAGGATTTATAAACAACATCCCAATGCTCATAATAGTGCCTTTTATGATTCGACATAGTAATTACTAGAACATTATGTCTGTAGATAATTGGCAAGAGGAAGTGCATATTTTCATAATTGCTATGCTGTTTGTTGCAGTCCTGCAGATATGGGATGAAAATTTTCAGATTGTAGCATCGCTTGGTTTTGGCGGAAATCTTCAACACTTTTCGAGATCTTTTTATCATTACAAGTACTCTTGATATCTTTATAAATTTGTCAAATTATTGTATTTTATTGGTTTAAAAAAAACGATGTAAAATTATATGACCGTGCCACACTTTAGACGAAACTTTTCAGTTCATAAGGTATAGCATCTATTGCCCCTATTATAGTTTTCCTTCCTTTTGTGGGGTTATACGTATAAATATCAAAAGTTAGAGAAAGAATACTATTCTTTTACATTATTACAGTAAACTTTTGATAATTGTTGCTATGGTCCGCATTTACCTGCATTTTTTGTAAACTGTCATTAAATACAGTGTACTGTTGAATGAGTTGAATTAGGCTACAATTAATAATATTCAACATACTGACATTTTAAAAATCGAAGCCCAAAAATGAAAATCCAAATTAGTGGATGTGACCTATTGCATATGAGCCACTTGTAAGTAAAATTTTCAATTATTTGGATGTATTTTGAGTTGTATATCAAGAGGCAAAAAATTAAGCCTCTATATAAATTTCTGAACCGTTAGATTTTGATGACATATATTATGCATGGGTTAATAATGTAGAAATTCTTTAAAATTTTATTTCTAGACAATTTATGTATAGTGGATTATATTCACTGGTTTAGATTTTTGTTTTTGAGTTCTGATTTTTAAAATTGGATTGATAGTATCCTCACTAGTGTTTTAACTCGTGTTAAGCATGGTCTTCTCACAATTTATCTATATTTTAATCACTCTTATCCGAATATAATTTTAAAGATCTAACGATTCAATTTCCTTTGAAACACGTGAACCTCACTCTCATCCACCCCTATTGAGTTTAGATAACATGTACATGCCTAGAAGTAATGATATTAAATAACTTAATCAATGAATAAAATGAAGATAATCAAGATATCCTAAATACAACTTGAATGAAATTAAGATATAAGACAGTTTAGTGTTCAAAAAACATTGCTCGCGAATGATGCATTACCAAAAAAAGGGTTCTCAATCAATCAATCGGTCATATGATGTAATAAGTAAAACATTAAGAAAAGCTCTAATAATTTCTAATTATTTTTTCTCTGTCTTAATCCTCTTCTTGAAAGTTAAAAGAGCTAGTGTTTTGTCCATCTCTGCAAAATAGAAAACATGTCTATTTAGTAAATTTGATATTAAAAATTATATAATAAAATTAATTAATGTATAAATAAGCCAGCTTGATTGTAGCATTATTTTTTTTATTACTGGTTGTAGGCGAGGTTTTAAATGTAAAAGAGTCAAGTGTAGCAATAGGCGAAACATCTAAAATCTTCCTTTTGCCTTTACTATTAGTGATGGATATTAGTGTGGATAAGTCTGAAGTTAATTCAACAGATTGATTATCAATGGCACCATCCTGATTCAGTTCAATTGTTTTCTCATCATATGATAATACAACATACGTCATAGAATAACATGTTAATGATTTAATTTTGAGAATAATGAAACTAATATTATATTTAGCAAACATCTTCTTTTGGAATGTTTATCGGAACTGTTTCCATGTGTCAATGAGTCTAGAGTATATTGAATTGATTGACTATTATCGCCATCAACCAGCGTCATATCGAGTGATTTTTCATTCTTTGATAAAAAATAAATTTAGTATTAGGACAATGAATACATTACATACAATTGAAGAGTACAAATTTATTAATAAGATTATAGAAATGTTACCTTTCTATCAGTTAGCAGTAACAGCACATTGAGTTTTTCGTCGTCCATGTCATCATCAACGGTTTTAATAATCGTGTAGTTTTCAATGCATTTACTTGTGTTAAACTATGTAACCTTAACATTAAAACGCATATTTCTACCGATTAATATCTTGATTGCAATCGGAATCTCTTTGTTATTCTGCACCCCGTTTAAGTAAATATTTATTAATTTTCAATTTCATCTATAAATTGAACACATATTAAAACTTTAATATAATTTCGATATAATTTACCAAACCCAGTGAAGATGCTAATTCTAAATAACAAATTTTTATCAAACGAAGAACGTCGTAATGGAATATTAGTGATGCATGTTCCATCCGTCACTTGTAAGGTAAGTTTGTCCCTAAAGTTAAATTTATATTCGCGTTATATATTGATTATTCAATTTAATTTTTATAAATTGTAAATAATTTTATTCATAAAAACTACAATATCAATTTTATTTTCTTCTACATATTTGATTTCTTTTTCCTAGTGATTACAATAAAGAATCCCATTGATCTCTTTTAACTTGTTATTGCAATAAGCATGAGAATGATATCGTCAACCTGACTGCTCCTCAATTCCCATAATTTGAGCATTACAAAAGGAATATTTTCCCTATAAATAGTATAGATAAACAATATATTCATCATTAATTGAATTATAAAAAACAACATAATAATAAAGTTCATGATAAATCAATTAAAGCAATAATCTTTCAAGGTTTATATATATAGCCATTGTATTATACTTTAAGTTTAATCTAAATTTTGTATACATCATTTTAGCCATTTAAATGAAATGTATCAAATATATTGTGTAATAATAAGACAATTTTTATCACTGTATCATGTTTCTTACAATAATATAGTGCTAAAAACTATAATTGAATATATATAAAGTTTAGAAAAATAATTCGATACTTAAATAACTAAAATTCACTTACATCATCGCCATTCTATTCCTTTACTTAAAAAATGTCATCAAATTGTACCATCATTGATTTCAATTTTGTTTTGTTTGTTTAGCGATCTTATTCTAGTCTCCAAAATTTAGTATTGAGTTGCTGCATCAATATAATTGAGAAAAAAGATAAGTAAAATAATTAATGATAATTCTCATAATTGTGAATAAATTTTATGAAAAGGGAATTATATTATTTCACAAAAAGTTACAAAATACCATTGATTTGAACAACATTCACATTATCACTCATATTTATATAAACCTTTGTAGCATATATGGACAAAAGGCTTGTTAATCCTTTCACTGTGGAAAAAATGAAAAGAAATATAATGTAATATTATTTATATATTTAATTATTGCAAGTTTATAATTAGACATACAAATATATATATATATATATATATATAATATCATACTCCCTTTAAAAGAGGGAGTTATGGAAAAACTTTTTAAGGACTATACTACCCCTAATCTTTGTTGATATTACATTCTAATACTAACTAAACTAATTAATTATCATTGTTAATTAATTACACTATATGTCACTTTAAGTTTGTATAATTCGGTCCCTAAAACTTCCAACGCTATTGTAAAACTCTACATCATATTAATTATTAGTAATGTAAAATAATATATTAATAGATAATTGCATGTTATAAGTATTTATGGAAAGAGTAGAAAACATAGAATTGTCCTAAAATTATACCATGAAACTCATATAGGAAAATTACAAAGAGCATTCTTATATTTATGTAACATGACAGAATGTAAAAACATTATATTTTGGAAAACATTAGGATATTTAAGTACAGCAAGCTAGATATGTTATCTAAAATATAAAAAAATGTGCAACAAGATACAAGTGGAGGTATATAAATATAATTGCGGTAAACTATAAAAGATTTAAGTTCGGTTAAGCCTATAAAAGATTTAAAATCTTTGTTATCCATAAACAATAGTATATGAACCCATTGATAAATAATATTCATCATACAATATGAGGCCAAATGGTTAGCTTATATTTATATTGTAGAGGAGATGCTGAAAAATTGAAGCATCATATTTTTAATGAGTCTTATGATTTTGAATTATTTCCTAAAATTATATACTTCGCTTAGAAAACTTTAGAAGAGGCTTCTGAAGGACTACTACAAAGGGTTGGACATCAGATAAATATTAAACAAATAAAATCCATAATATCAGATTGTAAAATTCAGGGATGTCTATGTAATATTGGGTGTCATATGATATAATATTCATACATATCATGACATTGTAATATGTAATCTAACATATTAATGAATTTTAAATATAATAATTTGCATCAAGAAATATGCTTAAGATTTGGGAGAGCCGAGAGTGGAGAGATTTGGAGAAGAATTGTGGCCTTTGTAGGTTCCAATTTTATTTCCCAAACACGATCCAAACTCGAGTCCACAATCAAATTAAAAATGACATGATTTTCTCAATATCTTCAAATAGATATATTGGCTATATTTTCGATAACGCTCGATATATCAAAAAAATCACCATATAAAAAAAACAATAGGAAATATTACCGAGATAAAGTCTTTAACCCGATATATTGGCCGATATAGTAATATATCAGCAAATATTTCATAGGATACCTATAAGAGAAAATATGTAAAGGTTATTTAGATATTAGTTCCTTGATTTTAAATATACAATGATTTTATGTTATTCCCTGAAATGTTTTAAATTGCTCATAATTTAGGGACTAATATTAAATTATTAATTTTTTTTATGTTGTTTGACATTGGATAGATATAAATTATTTTGTTAAAATACAATCAATATGAGTGCATAATATGTATAAATTTTTCTCAGATTATATTTATAATTTTCTAAAACTAGAGAGTAATCATTTTGATAGATCAATTAGTAGTTGGGAAAATATAAAAAGAGTACAACAACAGATTTTAAAATTGATCTTATAATTTATATTTTTTTTCTTGATTGAATTTGCACATTATAACTTAGAGAATTCTAGAAAAAAGTTCTTGAATATCTATAATACTCAGTTGCCTGATAAACAATAGGTGGAAGTGATTTTTTCATAACCGAACAAAATCCTTACTAACTAGATAAAGCCTAACATTTTTCTTTGATGAATTCAAGAATTTATTTTTTTATTAATAATTATAGGGTTTTTTCGTATTGGTCCCTTACATCATTAATATTTTAAAATTATATGTTCAAATTATTAATTAATCTTAAATCGCTAATATTTTAAGTCTTTAAACATCACTATTTTTTGGAAGACAAAAATGTTAAAACCACACATGGAAATATCCAAAAATAATAATATATTATGATATTTATAAAGTTTTTTGCATCCATGTTATAGTAAATAAATAAACCTAAAAAATAATTATGATATCTGATCACGTGCAGTGCACGTGCATGTCCAGCCTAGTAATATATATATATATATATATATATATATATATATATATATATATATATATATATATATATATATACAATATAATATATATAATATATATATATATATATATATATAT